TTACCCTCAGTCAGGGAGTCTGAACCCAGCTGAGACGTGTGCCGTGGCATGACAGTCATCATCGAGGCTAATTAAATTTTAAATAAAGATATAATTTTAACACATGCCCCGTGGAGTCCTCATCGTCATCATCTGTCATCAATGTCATCAGGTTCCCAGGCCCGTTCAAGGTTCATGGGCCGCAACATCATCATCACCATCATCAGTCATCAATGTCATCAGGTTCCCAGGCCCGTTCAGGGTTCATGGGCCGCAACATCATCATCATCACCATCATCATCATCATCAGTCATCAGTCGAGGTTTCCAGGCCCAGAGGGCCCAGAGGATATGCGTGCCACGGGCTTGTAGAGTTGACTTGCAAGTTGTAGTCCAGCCGGATTGGTCTGAGAGTTTTAGGTTTCACAAGGTTGCTGGGTTCTAACACTCTTTGCCTGTTTGCCTGTTCCCAGACACGGGCTGCAGGAGAGCGTGTCGAAGCTCGGCATGTTCTCCTTCAGCCCGTGTCGTATCGGCTTCCAGGTTCAGCTCGGCAATCGCAAATGAAATTAATTAAGTTTCTCCTAACCAGTCCGGCTTCGCGACTGTTGCCGAATTCATCTGCGGCTGAAGATCTGCCGCAAGACTCCCTCCCTGGCTGGGCTGAGACATGTGCCGTGACATGACAATCATCACGAGGCTCGGGAAAGGTTCGGTTCCTAGGTTCCCAGGCTCCCAGGTAGAATAGCTGGGCTGAGACCTGTGCCGTGGCATGACAGTCATCATCGAGGCTACAATAATAAATTTAAATAAATTTAATAAGCATGCCCCGTGGAGTCCTCATCGTCATCATCTGTCATCAATGTCATCAGGTTCCCAGGCCCGTTCAAGGTTCATGGGCCACAACATCATCATCACCATCATCAGTCATCAATGTCATCAGGTTCCCAGGCCCGTTCAAGGTTCATGGGCCGCAACATCATCATCACCATCATCATCATCAGTCATCAGTCATATGCGAGGCTTCCAGGCCCAGGGGGCCCAGAGGATATGCGTGCCACGGGCTTGTAGAGTTGACTTGCAAGTTGTCTGTAGTCCAGCCGGATTGGTCTGAGAGTTTCTAAAAGGTTGCTGGAGACTAACACTCTTTGCCTGTTTGCCTGTTCCCAGACACGTGCTGCAGGAGAGCGTGTGCAAGCTCGGCATGCTCTCAACCGCTACTCGGGAAGCCGGACTGGTTAGGAGAAACATCATCATAATATGATGATGCTGCTCCTCACCAGTCCGGCTTTGCGACTGTTGCCGAATGCATCTGCGGTTGAAGATCTGCCGCAAGACGCCCTCCCTGGCTGGGCTGAGACATGTGCCGTGACATGACAATCTGACAATCATCACGAGGCTCGGCAAAGGTTCGGTTCCTAGGTTCCCAGGCTCCCAGGTAGAATAGTTCGTTGGGTTGTCAGGCTCAGCACAGGTCTCAGCCCAGGGAGCTGGGTTGCTTGCGGCGAGTCTTGTTCCCTCGCAGATTCAGTCGAACACAGACTCCCTGACTGAGGGTAACCAGTCATCATCGAGGCTTGGAAAATTAAGCATGCCCCGTGGAGTCCTCATCGTCATCATCTGTCATCAATGTCATCAGGTTCCGAGGCTTGTTCAAGGTTCATGGGCCGCAACATCATCATCACCATCATCATCATCAGTCATCATCATATGCGAGGCTCCCAGGCCCAGATCCCTTAAAATTTTTCGGGAGGGTCGACGCACACACCAAGTAAGGATCCTACTATTTGGGGGTCCTGCATTAGGGTCCCCTATTTTCGGAAACTCCCATGTAACACAACGAGTCTTCCGTAAATAGCTTACAACCTTAGATCCGGTAGTTAAGTTATAACCATACGGGTTCCTTTAAAGGGATCTATAAGGGTACCTTTTAAGGGGCTCCTTTAAGGAATCTATAGGGTTTTAGGGTTTAGGGATATAAATCCTGCATCACCTTAAGGACCCTAAGCTATGGGGAATTATGGTATATTCCTTATTATGGGTAATGCAGGATTTATATCATCAAGCGTAGTTCTCTTTGTTTGCAGGGTTTCGGCTGTAGGTTTCGAGATCAAGGACTCGAGGTTCTTGACGTATGAAGTTTTTATAACCCAAAGACCTGTAAGGCTTGGGGTGACGTTCACGGCGTGGGCACCCCAGAGGTGTCGAGGTGAGCCAGGCCTTTGGCCCTTTGGCCGGAAACTTGTATGCCTTGGACCTAGGAGATGTAGGGTTTTCTTTCCTATCTAATGCATTCTCTTCCCTAGTGCACGTGCATGACTGTGTATGTACACCCTTGCGTGCTCACATTTTAGGGTTGCAGGTTCAGGGTCTGGGGATTTGAGAACTCTACTTAAAGGATCATGGGACTTAGCAATTGGGGTTATAAGTAAGGTAACTACAGTTATAACTATATATAACCTTAATTAGCCTTAACTATGGTACTTATAACCCTACTTACTTAGTCCCATGATCCTCCAAGTAGATCCACATTTATAATCACAAGGATGTGAGCATCTTCAATCTGCATCTCCCCGCCAATCTGCGGCCCGGGGTCTAGACCTGAAAGCCCCTATACCCTAAAGCAGAAAAACTCCAAGACCTGAAACCCTACTTGGAGGATCATGGGACTTAGTAAGTAGGGTTATAAGTACCTTAGTTAAGGTTATATGTAATTATAACTGTAGTTACCTTACTGTTAACCCCAATTGCTAAGTCCCATGATCCTTTAAGTACAGCCCTAAACCCGGAACCTTATCACCCAAGCCCCTGGGTCCAGGTGAAGTCCGTGTCCCAAGGCGTCGTTTCCGTCGAGGCGCTGGAGTCTTCCCTGCAGGAAGTGATTGATCCATGGGCTTATTTTGCGTCGTCGGGGTCACTTCCCCCCAAACCCTAAACCCTAGACCCTAAAAACCCTGAACACTAAACCCTATAACACAAACTTGGGTTCCGGACTGTGGGGGGGAATTGGGCTAGGGCCGGGAGTATTGACTGACAGGTATGGGGTTGAGTCTCTGCCTTTGCCCCATTTACTGTATGATGCCCACATCGAACCCTAAACCCTACAGCCTAAAGCATGGTGGTGTGTCTCTCACATCCTGCCTCGCTCCGTATATACGTGTGTGGTATGCATGGAAGCTGCGGACTGAAAGTGAGGGAGAGAGGGGGAGAGTGAGAGGGACAGAGAGAGAGAGAGAGAGAGACGAAGAACGCAACAGACAAAGAACAGCCGGACGCATTGAGCCCAAAACCCTTAAGCCCTCAGCCCTAAGCCCCAAACGGAAACAGTGTGTTTTTGTTGTGGGTGCTTTTTGGCTGTGGGTCTTTGGGGCGGTGGGCAGCGAGTGAGAGAGTGAGCTCGCGCACCCCGCAGCACAAAAAAAAACCCCGACGCAGACCCTGAATGTCGTTTTGCAGTGGATGCTCGGAGGCGGCGGGCAGCAAGTGAGTGAACTTGCCGCGCACCCGCAGCGAAAAAAGGCGCAGCGCACCTGCAGCAAAAAAAACGTGCCCTCCGGCTGGCCGGCCCACCCCCCGGTTGGATTCTGCCCGACCACCAGCCCCGGGTGCGCACGCAGCAAAAACAAAACGAGAGCTTACTCACTCACTCGTTGCCCGCCGCCCGGAGCAACCACAGCAAACAAGCACCCGCAACAACAAAAACGGTGCTGCGCACCGCGCACCCGCAGCAAAACAAAAAAAACGCGCGGGCACCCGCAGCAAAAACGCACCCACAACAAAAAAACAAACACTCTTACCAGCCCTAAAGCCTAAGACCCTAATTCCTAAACCTCCACACCCCTAGGCCTTAGATCCGTGGCATCCCAGGACTCACTGAAGTTGGTCCATGCCACATGGCTCGAAACTCTCCGGGTGAGACTCTGCTGCACCTATCCTCGATCGAAAATCCCTAGACCTGCTTGGAGGTTCATGGGTAGTTATAAGGGTTCCTTGAAGGGTGCCTTTCAAGGGATCTGTAGGGATTCTATAAGGGTATAGGGTTTAGGGCCTACTTGGAGGTTCATGGGTAGTTATAAGTGGGGCTATAAGTTTGCTAGTATGGGTTATAACTATAGTTACCCTACCTATAACCTCGCTTATAACTCCCCATGAACCTCCAAGTTGACATTAGGGTTTAGGGGTTTCAGGGTAGCGGGGATGGCATGGTTTTGTGCTCATATTTGGCTCCCCTCTTATTTCCTCAAACCTACCTTGCAAATTTATATCCAGGCATGCTTGGGCGCTTGGCGCAAAATCGAAGCACCCTAAACCCTAAAACCCGAAAACCTGCTATAGTCATAACCCATATTAGGGGACTTCTGACCCCACTTATAACTACCCCTGGTGAGTCTCGAGGGTTTTGCCTCAAGCCAGGAAGGTTTGGAAACGAAAAGCCATTAGGGTTTAAATACAGAGCCATACAGACCCAGAGAGCCCAATACCCCTTAATTAAGGAATATGGCTTAAATTATATAGGGCTTCATATTATGATTTAAGCTATATTCCTTAATTAAGGGGTATTGGGCTCTCTGGGGAGGCTTGGGGGTTAGGGTTTAGGGGCCAGGGGTTTGGGTTTTGGGCCCTGCAGGCCTGCACCGCACACCCAATTGTAAAATCCCAAAGCCCCACCACCCCTAAACCTAAACCCTAGACATCCCAAAACCCCAAACCCTAAAGCCTAAACCCTAAGCCCCCTAAACCCTAGACCCCCTAAACCCCTGAACCTAAACCCTAAACTCCCACGGCCGAGGCGTTACGGCTCAGGCACGTAGTGGAGCTACAGCCTTTGCCGGAGACCCCAGCGCGGCACTACTTTTGTGCTCGCTCGACACCTCCCTCTCCCCGATATTCGGCTGGAGACTGGGATCGTCCCTGTACGCGTGGCGAGGGGACGCCTTTGATTTTACATCCACTGGCACAGTCAGGTTGGGCCTTAGTGCACCTGGCTGTGCCTTCAGAGATTGTATACTCTGCCTTTTGTGCATGAGCTGGAGAATTGGGATTCTCTGGATCTGCTATCTGGGCAGTCATTACACTGGGTGCGGCACTGAGACTCCGCTGGAAAGCCTTCCTCTCACTGAGACAGTGGGAGAGCGCCCGACACCGGCGCGTACGGCGGAAACGGACAACTGCCCGGACAGTCCTGCGAGGATTCGTCTCGGGAACGTACAGGCCTGGACAGATCGCTCTGGTCCAGGCTTGCCAAGTGCTCGAGACCCACCACAGCCGCAGCGGCCTGCCACAGCGTGCAAGGGCCCTACTGGCAACAATGGCCAACAACGGCGCGTGGCGATGTACTACCTGCAGACAAGCAGTCAAGGCATCTTTCGCGTACTGCCCTGGATGTGGGCAGCACTGGCAGCGTGTGGCAGAGAGTTACCATGCGCAGAGTTCACAGGCGCCGTGGCCGGGTGCAGAGGACTGGCGACCCCAGTCCCCACGCCGGCGCTCCAATGCCCCCAAATCACCGCGTCGACGAGGTGGGGGAGCTCATCAACAGCCGGGACAGCCCAAGGGTGCCGGCAAAGGACAGCCTTCTGGTGCAAAAGGCGGCCCCTCCAAGGGTGCCGACGCAACCACGAGAGATCTGCCGACAGCGCCAGCGGCGCTGCCTGTGAACATGCCCAAGGAGGCACCCGCAACAGCTGGGCCCTCTACGCCAGCGGCCGTGGAAGTTGGGCCACAGGCACAGCTATTGCAGAACCTTCGGGGGCTTTGAACCAGTCGCGACACGACCTTCCACAAGCTGTACTCGAGCTACTGGATGCACAAACCAGCCTGGACCACAAAGCGGAGAGCAGAGTCCTGCACAAGCTTGTGAGTTCGCAGGCGAATGCCAAGACGGAGCTCCAACAGGTGGGCAGGACGAGGCAGGCCTACCTGACTCAGTGGGCCCAGTACATGCAGCAGCTGGGCGCCACCTGGGAAAAGAGCTTGGCGGAGAAAGAGGCCATGCTAGCCTCTTTGGACGAAGCGGAGGCCAAATGGACCGCACAGCTCAACGAGACCACGCAGGAGCTCGCCAAGCAGACCTCGAGCCGTACGGAAGGGACGGTCGAGATCGGGGATTCCAGCGACGAGATGGAAGCCGTGGATGCCATGATCACGGATGCTGCGCAACTCGAGCTAGAAAGAGCTCGGGCAAGAGAGCTCCTGCGAGCTCAAGAGACGAAGCTATCCGCGAGCCTAGCGGAGGCGGTCAGAGTGGCGCAGGAGCAGCTGTCCGCCAGCTCCGAGAGGGAGCGCTTGCCAAGACGCAGATCGAAGACGAAGGAGGAGCCTACGGAGCCGCCGTCCGACACGGCGCACCCTGGGAAGGCCTCGTGACGGGCCCCTTTGGCCGCACGAGGCCGACATGCCTCTCCGGCGAGGCGCTGAGACACTCGGTCTGCGGGGAGGATGACTTTGTCCCCGCTCAGATGGCAAGTGTCCTTGGACTTCGCCGTGAATATGAAGTAGCCGTGGAAGCTCTTGGGTTCGAGCTTACACTTGAATGCGATGCACGCATTCTTGCCCTGACCTATTCCGGACAAGGTGAGGCCTCAGGACAGGATGTGATGCAGAGACGCGAGACCGCATTTTCGTCAGGCTGTGACCCAGGGCTCGGCGCAGCTGCAGACCGGAGTACTCAGCATGCGCTCTCGTCCACTTTCCAGAAGACCAGTGGCCACATGGGTGACGCGGACACTGGTTCTGACGCAGTGGGCGAAGCGATCCTGATTGCTCCACGAGCAGCTTCGAGCCGTCCCTTGAGGCCAGCCCTGTATAATACTGTACATAGAAGTGACGCTTTCGGAGTAGGGCGTGTTTCTTTTGAGTCGCGGGTTTCTTACGTGGAGCCAGGGCGCCCCCTCAACCCACATGTTCCGGGCCACCACCGGGCCGCACGACCATGCAAACTTCCTCCCCCGTGCCTCGCCAGGCAACGTGCGCCGCTCTCACCTCCGAACCCGGAGGTTGACACTGCCTGCAAGCACTCCCTGTCGCAGCATGTGCGGGATGAGCCCAGCACTGCACCTGTCCACCTGCCGTGCCTTTACCCGGACATCCTGCGCCACCCTGGCCAGCGCTCCGCCCCTGTTCCGACACCCTTTCTGCCATTCCCTCCTTGCCAGGAGGCCCACTTTACATCCACCACAGCGTGTGCCGCCTGTTGCGTGCACCGCAGCCTGCGAATCTCGCATGCTGCCTTGCGAGACCAAGGATCAAGGGACTTCCTTACCGACGGCGGTTCCCAAGGTACTCCCTCCAGGACAGCCCAGCCCTGAGGTGACACCAGGACTTCTTGGAAAAATGGGCCCCGCTCGACCTTCTGACCTCAGCAAGCTGGGGCTCAACCGGATCAATTTCCTCCCAGAGTACCTTGGTCGATACCCAGTCAACGAAATACCGGTCGACCAGCTTGGGCTTTTCGCCCTCGAGCCGAGCCCTGCCAGGCGCTTGCTCAAGTACTCTGTCTTTGACAGGCAGCGACACCACTCTCAACGCACTGCGGCTTACGGATGGTCCCTCAATGACCTTGTTTCAGAGGCCATTCGTTCCGCAGACGAGCCGATCAAGATTGTTCAGCTGATCACGAATCACATGCCTAACCTAGCGGTGCCGCAGCTGGTGCTTACGCCAGCAGACGCAGCCCCGGGCGAGCTATGTGTCCCTCTGGACCTTCGGCCCGTCGGGGGTCGACCGTGCACGCTTTTGCTCAGAGGAGGCATGCAGGCAGGTGAGGTCGTTGATGCAGCCATAGGCCGATGTCCTTGGGGTCCTGCAGCGGCCCATACTCTGCCAATTGGGAGGGCTCTAATGCTCAGGGCAATGTGTGGGAAGAGCTACCTGCCGACCTCACCCAGCTCCAGTGGCTTAGGCTCGCTGACCTGAGGGCTGAGGCTATGGACAGTTACCACCACGCACACAATTGGCCTTGAGAGAGTCGAGCTCGTCTCTATGGTGCTTGTGGGGCTAGGCATCACCATTAGGCTGCACCCGCAGCCCTTGAGCCAACCCAACGTGGCAAGCTCAATTGCTGACCTTATCATGGCCATTGCCCGACAAAGGCGACTGCCACAGCGCTCTCGGATTGTCATTGCCTCGGCACAGCCTCACCCCAGACAGCTGCAACATGTTACGATCGTCTTCACGCTGTTCCCTGAGGACGATCGAATCCATGTAGTCCTTGACCCCTCAGCTGATGGATCCATGGTGGGGTCCGTCTCTCTGGATGCCCGCTCCAGGCCGGAGGAATTGGTTGGTGATGCACAGGCCAGGCAAGGCTACGTTGCAGCAATCAACGGTGTCACCCAAGCAGCGGTTCGGCGAAACCTTTGCACCGGTGACTACGCACAGGTCATCCAACGGCCCAAAGAGCATAGGGTTGCGCCAACCGACTGGCTCTACCAACTGTTGCCCGATCTGCGCTGCTTTGCCTTCCCCATTGAGGTCCCGCGCTTGCAGCGAGCCACGGCTGAGCCCCTCAATCAGCTAGTGCAGACACAGGTCAGGGATGCGTTCCTGCGATACCTCCAGACCAGACTTGCGCAGCAGGCGGATGCAATGGGACGGCCAGCAGCCGACACGCAACCGGTTTTTGTCCAGGGCCCCAACCATGCGCCGGCCCTGCTATATGTGCCGGGCAGGATTACCCCCATCCTCCAGGAGGCTATGGAGGCGATGACAGCCACGGGGTTGTTCGCACATGGCACAACTTTTGCAGATACCTGCGAGCTCACTCACCAACATGCGCCTCTGTTCCTGTCGATCCCACCCGGGACCACCAACTTGGGCCTGGTGCCAGCTCCTACTTTCCATGGCTGCCGCCTGGAACGCAGCCACAGGCTCTTGACCTCCCAGTCCGGCGGGGCTTTCACCTGGTGTTTCCGCCGCATGTTCGGCAAGGCTCTGCTCTCCGCCACAAGCGCACTGTGCCATTGACCAATACCCAGCACCAGCAGGCTGCTAGAGCATTCCAGCGTGGGACTTCCTTGGTCCAACTTCTTGACCTCAGAGCCAAGCAGGAACGCCGGTGCAGAGAGTTGCTTGTGGCGCAGGACCTACAGGATGAATGCGGCTGCGTTCGGGGCCGGGTTGCCTGTCCGGAAGTGGCCGAGCTGACCACCTAGGAAAGCGGTGCTGCGGCTGCCTCGCACACCATCGCTACACCATTTTCGGTCGCCGAACCTTCCGGCCGATCGCCGACCCGGCCCTCACCCCGAGTCCACGCTCACACCGAGGCCGCCAGTCCTTTGCAGTCGGGCTGCAACTCCCTGGCTCAGGGACCTGCACGGACCTCTGCTGCCCATGATCTGGCCATGCCTCCTCAGCCGTGCACCCTCTACTTGGACCGGTTGATTGCCTCCCCGCCAGCTGCCATCACTTGGGGTGTCAACCAGGACATTGCTGAGGCGACGTTTGCGGCACATAGCCTAGCGTCTTTTGCAGTTGAGCCACAGGCTTTTGGGGTCACTGACTCTACTGCACTAAGCCACTGGCTTACCCTTCCTGAATGGGACCCTGGGACCCGATGCGATGAACTTTTTCTCTTCACAGACGGATCCTTTTTCCCGGGAGGCACAGGCTCTACATGGGCCGTGTCTGTCGTTGCACGGCAGGGATGGCGCATTGTCCGCGTTGGGGCCGGTGCTGGCACGTGGAGCTGCCCATGCCCAGCACAGCTTCCACAGACTAGACGCTGCATACGACGGGGAGCTAGAGGCAATCCTGCATGCTCTCTGCGTGGCAGCTGCCACCGGTTGCCCTCAGGTCCACATCGGGCGCCTTCAATGATTTATCTGACCAGATCGCCAAGGCGGTAGGCCGACTTGGGGAACCCGCTCACCTGGACTCCACCTTTGAAGCCTTATGGGCGGCTATAGACGAGAGGGTAGTCGATGCCCTATGGCTGGTGCCGCGGCACCCTGCCATTGACGCGCGCATGCCGCCGCTGCAGCCAAACGGGACCTGGACGGCGGCCAGCTGCGCCATTGCATCCAAACTCCCCTGCCGACCCTTTTGCATGACCCAGAGCGTGCGAGAGGCCAAGCCCATCTCGGTCTGCTGGCGCTTGCTACAGTACAATGCCCTCTCACTCAAGGCCCCAGGTGCCCTGGAGTTGATTGAGAAAGGCCTGAACAAGGCAAGGGTCGATATCGCTGGGATCCAAGAAACTGGACTCCACAGGGACGGCATCTCTACCACGGGTGCATTCTGGGTCCTGAGCGGTTCCTGTTCAGATTCGGGCCAAGGGGGCACACAGATCTGGGTCAGAAAAACAGATCGATGGGACCCTAAGGCCTTCTCAATCCTGCATTGCGAGCCGCAGATCTTGATTGTCTTGGGGCAGTACCAAGAGGCCCGCGTCCTCTTGGTGTCCGCACATGCAATGACGGCGACGACCCCTGCAGACAAACTCCAGGACTGGTGGCAACATTTGGGGGTCGTGCTACACCGCACTCCCTCCAAATGCCTCCCAATCTTCTTCTTGGACGCTAATGCTACATTCCAGAGACACCCCGATGATCCCGACACCCTGGCTGCCCAACCGGTGTGTGGCAATTCGGCCACTTGCGACAGTTTGCTGACTCAAGGCAGCTCGCCCTAACACCACAGGCATATCCCGATGGAGAGCCGGTGGTCACCTGGATCAGTCCGGCTGGAGTCAAGAAGGCCATTGACTACATCGCCTTCCCCACCGCTTGGCAATCCTGCTGCACCCTGCTGCAATCGCCGAAGCTTGGCGACCTATACGAGGACATCGACCACCAGCCGCTCCTCCTGCGGATCGAGCTCACGCTGGATGGGTCTCCCAGGGGCCAGCGGTGTACGATAGATCCACGCCTTTGGCAGGACGATGGCGCCAGCGCACTGGTCACCACAGCAGCCATCACCTGTCCTGTCGTCCAATGGTCTGAACAAGGCACGGCCCATGTTGATCGGATCCAGGCACACATGCATACCCAAATTGCCTGTGCTACGCCACAACGGCCGCCCCGGCCGCACAATCCTGCTATCACTCAGCCGACGCTGGACTTGGTCAGATTGCATCGCCACCTCCGCAGGTGTACCCGACGTGCACAGAGTGTGGCTGACAGAGCTTACCTGCAACTCTGCCTGCATGCTTGGGCCTACAAAACGGCCACCAGGCCGCGCTTGCTCCGAACTGACCGGACGACCAGTACCGCACAGGGAAGCAGCTACGCGCCGCACTCTGGGCGGACAGGGCCGACTTCACACGGCGCATGCTGCAGCAAGCCCGATCGGATGGGCCAGCCGCTTTCGCCCACAGACTGCGGGCTATCCTCCGAACGGGTCGCCGCTACAAGCCGTTTGCCTTGCTGCCGAGCCTCTCGGATGTGACCCCGCAGCCATTCGGCCGATGTGATACGGCAGATAGTTTCGGCCGCTTCTTTGAACAGCCAATTTAACATGTATTCCCGGCAGACACCCAGGTCCAGGCCCCGGCGGCCCCACTCCGCGGACAGTCCCTCCCTTCCTTGGCCGGACTGGCGTCAGGATTTGCTCTCTCAAGAGAGGGCGCGCACCGGGAATCTCGGGTCTGTGCCCAGAGGTGTTCCGAACGGACCCCCCCGGAGGCATTGCAATCGCAGTGCCAAAGCCAGGCAAACCGCATACGGCTCACAACGGGTTCAGGTCCATCGTTCTCCTGGAATGTGACAATAAAGCCTGCCAGACTGCCCACCGGGACAGCTTGCTCAGCCTCCTGCCCACTTTGGGCACTGCCGATCAGTTTGGCGGCAGGCCAGGGGTTCCCCTCAGCCACCCGGCCTCCTTTGTCAAGGCGCACCTTCTCCAGCTCCGCCGCACCGGGGCGTCGGGGGCCATCCTGTTCATAGACGCCACTGCAGCCTACTACACCATCACCAGAGATTTCCTGTCCCTCACGAAGCAGCAGCGCTGCGATGATGCATTCCTCCGCCGCCGGGCAGCCATGCTCTTCACTGAGCCCGACTTACAGGAGCGATTTGTGGCAATGGCTCGTGAGGACATGGCTGCCGCCGCTTTTGCCGACCATGAGGAGCTGCGGATCTACGTCCAAAAGCAGCTTGAGCTTACCTGGTATGTCAGTCGCCATGATGCGGACTCCGCCTTCGTCGCGGGAAGTGGCACGGTTCCTGGAGCGCCACTTGCGGACCTCCTTTTCTCCATCATCTTCGGGGGCATACTCCGCCGCACCAGGGAGTTCCTCATCTCAGCAGGATACCATGCCAGCCTTACCCGCGCTGATGCCTCCAAGCCTGGCTTTACGCCGACTTGGGCGGACGACGTGAGTATCCTGGTGCGAACGACGGCTGCCAGCCAGGTTACCACTGCCGTGTCCCAGGCCATGGAGTTCTTCACCGAAGAGCTGCTGGCGGCAGGCATGAGCGCCAACCATGGGATGGGGAAAACCGAGGCGTTGGTGGCCCTACACGGGGCAGGGTCCAGACAGGCCCGACGTGATCTGCTGGGCACCGAGTCACCGCAGATAGAGTTTGCCACACGCCATGGCCCCGCTCATATTCGCCTGGTCCAGACCTACCCTTATCTAGGGTTTCTGGCACAAGCCGACAATCAAGCTCTGCCAGACATACTCCGGCGAAAAAGCCTGGCACGTGAGGTATATCTGCCGGTGAGGATCTTGCGCAATCCGGCGCTTAGCTTCTCCGAAAAGCAGCTGGTGCTAAAAAGCCGCGTGATCAGCCGATTTTTGTATGGCTCGGGGCTATGGACCATACGGACTCGGAGGGAATCCGATGCGGTGGCCGAGGCTCTCCACAGCTTCTACAGAGGCGCGTTCCAGCCGCTGGTCGGCATCTCGAGCCGGGGCTACTCTAGCCTTGAAATTGCCGGCATCCTGGAGCTTCCTCTTCCGGAGGAGCTCCTTCACGTCGAGCGGACTCGGGTTATCTGTCAGCTCGCCAGAGCAGCTCACCATGACGTCCTGACGGAGTTCCACCTGGACTCCACATGGTGGTCGGATGCCTGCACTGCCCTACAGGCTGTCGGTATCCACAAGGCAAGCACTGATGACTTTGCGGAAATCATCCGCTCTGCCAGCATGGATAATGCCAAGGTGAAGGCGGCCTGCAGGCGCTACCTTGCCACAGCCGTTCAGGGACGAGCCGTTGACCGCACAACTCTCCGACAAAGGCCACCCTGCGAGGGTGTCGAGGTGACGGCGGCCAGCAGCACCCTCCTGCCCTGGCACTGCGACCACTGCCAATGTGCTTTCTCTACCCACAAGGCTGTGGGAGCGCATAGAGCGCATAAGCACGGGATCCGATCCCTCCCAGCGGCTTGCGCAGTGGGCTCGCGTTGTGAAGTATGTTGTGTAGAATTTTGGACGCGGGCTAGATTAGCCCAGCATCTGAAAACACAGGCACGGTGCCGTCACATTTACGACCATGCAGACATTCGTGATACACCTGCCAAGTGTGAAACGGGGGCACATGCTTGGAGACCAAGCATGGTGACCGCCGGTCCACGCCCATGGTGGACGATGCTGACGCCAGCACAGGACGGCTGACGGTGTCGCGGGCTTCTTTTTCCTTCTCACGTGTGGATATTTAACCACACGCATGGCGCGCCTGTAAGCAGCGCTTTTGCCATGGCATGTTGAATTTGTCTTGCGCGACCAGCACAGTTGAGCACGTGAACAACTCCCACGGCCGTAAGAGAACCCCAAACTTCTAAGCCCGAACAACCCCAAGTCCCCAGGCCGAACCAATGCACCCAAACCTCAGCCCCAAATGCTTAGAAAAACCTTAAAACCCTAAAAAACCCTAAACCTTAAACCCTAGACCCGGTCGCTGCGGAGAAAGGGCCATTGCACATTAAGATAAACCCTAAACCCTTAACCTTTAACCCTGAAAGCCCTAAACCCTCCCTAAACTGCAACAGGAACGGCATAGCCCCTTTTGACTTCTTCACCAACCAGGAACCGACTGCCAGTTCTTTGCTGCTAAAGCTTTTCCAGCGGTTAGGGCGGTTCGGGTTTTGGGGTTCTTTTTAAAGGGTTCCTTAACGGCTTCTATAAGGGATCCTTAAAGGGCTCTATAAGGGATCTATAGGGGTTTAGGGTCCACTAGGTTCCTCAGTAGTACCTCTTTTGTCCTTTTTGTTTTAGGGTTCCCTTTTTCAAACCGAATTGCAAGAAAAAGGGTACCTGTTTGTTGCGGCCTCTGTGGGCCTTGTCGAATGATTGAGCGGCTGTTGAACGTGTTGTAAGGATTCTACTATAGGGGCCTTAGTAATTACCTATATTATTTTGGGCGTTCATGATTATATCTATATTATAATATAATATGCCCCCTAAGGCCCTTGTATTATGAGCTTCTGCTCGGAGGTGCAGACTGGCTTCATGAGGTGTCTAGAAGCTTCCTTTTCATTTTCAGGGTTCTCCAGTAGTACCCTTATTCCTTTTTGTAGTCCTAGGTTCCTTATAAAGTTACCAAATACCAAAAAGAGAGGCCTTTTTATTCTTAGGTTACTGCGTATCCTAGTTTTCAGGGTTCTATGAGTTTGTTTACGGGTTTTAAGTGGCTTTGCCTAATACCCCACTCAACCTTACTGTAGACCCTCAAGCTAGAATCCCAAGCCCTATCCCAAAGCCCTACAGCCCTAAGCCTTAATCCTTAAGAACCCAAGCCCAAAACCCAAATCCCTCAATTCGAAGCCCTCCAAAAGAATTTAAGTGTGATTTGTAGTATCTAGGATTACGATTGTGGCCACTATACTACTTCGAGGTTCATGGGTAGTTAAAAGTAGGGTTCTAAGTCCCCTAATATGGTTATAACCATAGTTACCGTACTTATAATCCCACTTTAACTCCCGCATGAATCTCCAAATCATGATTGCTTTTCACGGCCCTTTTCACCCCGATGAGGTATTCGCCGTCCAAGGCTCTTGGCTCAACCTCCTTTGTTTTCAAGGTCAGCCCAGCCCAGCCCGGCCAGCCCTCAGCCCCACAGCAGCTCCCACCCCTAGCTGCCCTTTAAGGTTTAGGGTGTAGGGTTTAGGATTTAAAGGGAACTCCAGAAAGTTGGAATATGGTTTCAGGGTAGGATACCCTATAATTTACCATAAAGAGTTTAGGATAATCATATTCCAACTTTCTGGCTTTTACTTTAGGGTGCAGGGTTTAGGGTTTCAGCCTCCAGCCGAGCCCTCCCGACCTGCACCAAACACCAAAATTGCCAGGCTTTCGGTCAGCACGTTTCGGCCAAGACTTCTTGGGCACCAAACCCTACACAGCTTCTCAAACCCCAAACCCTAAACCCTAAGCCCTAAAACCTAAACCTTAAGCCCTAAGCATGTTCACTTGCAAGTGTTTGCGTAAATCCCAAATGAACCGCAAACCCTAAACCCTGTACAATGTCATACAATGTGCTTTTGGGGTATCCTACACATTAGGTGCCGTACTGTATTAGGGACCCAAAAAGGGGCCCTAATTTTGACAACCACCCATTTCTACAAGCCGCCTAGACCCCGACGAGGAGCCGATGGAGCTGGCTGGCCGCACAGCCCCCTGGCCCTGTGGGTGGGGTTTGCCTGGACCCTCAAGAACCTACCTATTTTCGGGTTCCTTATTCTGATTTCCTTGTGTAAGTCCTTAAACAGGTAGGTTATTCCGGGTTAAGGTAGGGATTAGGGTTTAGGGTTTAGGGTTTAGGGCGTGACTCTAAGCCTACTTGGAGCTTCATGGGTAGGTATAACTGGGGTTTTGGAGTTCCTTGAAGGGTTCCTTTAAGGGTTCTGTCGGGTTTAGGGGTAGTCTTATAACTCCACTTACAACTACTCATGAACCTCCAAGTAATTTTGCTCTGGGGGCTTAGGGTTTCGAGGGATTTAGGGGTTCAGGGTTTCAGGGTTTGTAATTTGGGATCTTTGGGACGTCAGGGTTTCGAGGGATTTTGGGATTATGGGGTGTGGGGTTTAAGGGTGTTGGGCTCAGCGTCTGGTACCCAGAGCCTCCAAAACCCCTTAATTAAGGAATATACCTTAAATCATATAAGGGATCCTATTATATTTGAAGGTATATTCCTGAATTAAGGGGTTTTGGAGGCTCTGGGTAATTCAGGGTTAAGGGCTTGCCGTGGAATGGCACTTAGGCGACAACAGTGCATCGTACTATGGCGATCAGCTGCCAAAGCCTTATCGGCATTTGGGGCTTAGGGTTTAGGGCTTCGGGTCTGTTGTGAGAGACGACGAAGTAGCGGGAACAGAACAGAACTGTGAGGAAAGACCGGAAATTAGCTCAATCAATATCCAACGAGCCCAACTTCCTCAAAGCCAAACCTTAGACCAAACTTTAAACCTGGAACCTCAAACCTTAAACCCTCAATACATTCGAGGTGCCGTCGGGCACGGAGATTTGGGTGCACTACCGCCACGTTCTCAAGCACTCACCTCTGGTGAAGGAAAAGCTGGGCGACGATCTGGAGGATTCCAAATCCCTTGCGCTTACTATGGCCGCCGGAAGAGGGTTCTTGTAAAGGGTCCGAGTCGAAACACTATAAAGGGTTACAATACAGGGGCCATAACTAGTTTCACAGGGTTTGGGGGGTAGTGGACTGGTGCGATTAAAGGTTTTGGGGTTTTTGGGGTTCGGGTTTGCAGGGGCTTCATAGTGCTTGCGACGGCTTATTGAATGGGTGGTTGTAAAAGTTAAGGTCCCTTTTTGGGTACCCTAAATATTCGGTGCCGTCTTTTAATCGGGACCCAAATAGGGGCCATAATCTTGACAACCACCCATATCGGTTCCCAAGAGGCTTCCACAATCGCGGAAGTTTCTCGGGTTTTGGAGTTCACGGGTTAGGGATTTAGGTTAGGTACGGCCCCCACTCAGTAGTAGTTGAATAATATTCATAATATAGATATAGTAGGACCTTAATAGTAGCCCTATTATAGACTGTTACTGTATGGGGGCCGTACCTAAGATTTAGGTGTTTAGGTCTTGGGTTCCCACATACGCTTAAAGCCTATAGACCCTGAGCCCCACCCTAAACCTCTTCTGAAACCCTAAACCCTAAAGCCCTGAACCCCTGAACCCCTAAACCCTCAAGCCTCTACAGAACCCTAAGCCGTAAGTGAAGCATCTTGGAAGCTTTTCCTGGGTTTGGAGTACCACACTTGAATACCTTTTTTTTGGTACCTGTTCCTTAAAGGAACCATTATGATATAGAAGTCTATCCTTTTTTCTCCCTGGTTACTTCAAAGTCCAGTTTTCTGTGAGCAGGAGTTCCGACCCCAGCGATGGCTCGGTTCCGAAGGCTTGCGGGTGTAGGGCGTAGGGGTTTGCGCATTTACAGCAGAAGCCTAAAAGTTGGAAACCCGACTTCTTTCTGAAAACCCGAAGCCGTGCTCTATACGCATTGAGCGGTTTAGGGATTTAGGGATTCAGGGGTTTAGGGCTAAGGGCGTAAGGGATTGAGGGGCTTAGGGGTTTAGCCCTGAACCTAAACCCTTCGGGGTTTTAGGGTTGACACTAACATCCAAGTTAGGAGGCCCATGTGATTTACGGATTCGGGGTTCAGGGATTTAGAGGTTTAGGGATTTAGGAATTGAGAGGCTTACGGGCTTAGGCCTAAACCAAAGAGGCCCATGTCGTGACATCTGGCGGCAGCTTGGGGCTTCGTCATGGTTTGGGGTACTCCAGCTGAAGCGGTTTGGGGTTTAGCACTCAGCCAAAAAAGTTGTACATCATTCACTACAAAAAGCTCGCGAAGCACCCAGCCGTAAACGAAACACCTTGCACCATCAAGTCCAAGCTCTGAACCCCGCTGTCTAGCCACGAAGCCCTCAAAGTCACATCGGAAATTTTACGGCTTTGTCGGCTCCCCTCGGTCTCTGCATCGCGCAGCCAGACCTTGTGAGAGCAACCAGTCTTGCGTGGCTTCCTCGGCGACCAGCTGCACTGGCCGTACTTGGTGCCCCGTGTTCGCGCTCATCGCATTAGCGAGACGGTCGGGAAACCAGAGGACCGGCACGATTTGGCAGAAGCCTTTCTTCGAAGGCCGGCACTGTCTTGAATGTGAAGAGTACCGTATATGGTCTGACTGCAACCTCGAAACGTAATCGGACTGGACGATCGCAGCTTTGGCTACTTTCTGCACTTGGAGGATCATGGGACTTAGTAAGCAGGGTTCTAAGTACCTAGGCATCGTCCGTGTAGCCGATCGCAAAATTGAAGAACGCTAACCCCAAACCCGAAATGCCAACCCGAAGCGCCAAGCCTCTGATTAACAAAAATTCAGTCCTTGAATGAGGGTTAGAAGAGGGGATCCCTTTGTGACGGACTTTCAAGACAGGAACCGTGTCTGCAGGAAGCCCTCTCCGAAGGCATCTTAAATCCCAAACCCCAGACCCCAAACCCGAAACACTCAACCCTAAACCCTAAGCACGAACCCTGCTCCCTAAGTCTTCCAACCTTAAACTTACTTTCTAAATTCCAAGCCTTAACCCGACATGCCTTAGAAGCTGCCCCACCCTGTAATAGTGGTATAAACGGAATATAATAGGGCCCTAATATAATCCTATATAATCCTTATGGTCACTATTACAGGGTGGGGGCCCCTTCTAAGACATGCCTAATTAGGTTCCTGAGTGGCCCCTTTATAACAAGGGTGCCCGTTATCCCAATGTTCAGTTTCGAGAAGGAGACCCCAAGCTGAAAAGGGCAAAAAGCCAGGGTTTAGGGTTTAGGAGTTTAGGGTTTAGGGTTTGGGATTTAGGAATTAGGGTACTTCTCTAAAAAAACCCCTGAAGGCATCATCAAGCACCCGCCTTTTGACAGTCTGGCCTTTGGGCACCTCGGTTCTCTTTGTCAGTGCCGTGTTATGCAAGGGCCATAATTCCGAGTTTGGGGTTTAGGGTTCACGGTTTGGGGTCTCGGGTTTAGGGTATCAGTTTTTTTTGGGGCTTTGTTTTTGGGTCTGATAGGGCTTTAGAGGGATGTCATTAGGTCAATATTGGGAGTGTTGATGGCTAGAAGGGTTGTATGGAATTGCTTGTTTTGTACACGGCTTTATGAGACTTAGTGCCGGGCCTTAATACTATCAGTAGTCATATGATTCATTGTATAATCACAATGACAACGAAGCTCACTACTACAATACGGTGTTCAACATCATATCCATAACCATAGTTGTTTGTTACCTACAATGCGGACAATAACAAAAAGAGATCGAATTGGGTCATTGTAGTAGGGTTGAAAAAGGCAGGGACTATGGTACTGTAGCTATTCAGACACACCGCACGGCCCTCGACAACGAACTCTCATGAGCCGGGTTCGGGTCCAATGCCTCGGTTTGCGGGTATAGGATTTAGGGTTTAGGGTTTAGGATTTAGGGTTTCAGGGTTCAGAGCCCGCAATTCAGGGTTTGCCTGGCTGAGGCATGGTGCTCGAATCTGCTTGGGGCGGACCTTAGCCGACTACGAAGGAAAGTTGGCGATGGTCAAGGTTCCGGGGAGCCGACACGCGAAACCCCAAGTCTTGAATCCTGAACCCTGGACCGTAACCCTACTTAAAGGATCATCGGACTTAGTAACTAGGGTTATGATTAGGGTAAGTGTACTTATCACCCCAATTAAGGTACTTATAACCTGACTTACTAAGTCCCATGATCCTCCAAGTAAACCTTAGACCCAAGACCCCCAGCGCCCGACCCAGAATCTCAGAGCCCAAACTCCGAACCCTAGCCGCTTAATGTAGGGGGTTGGAATAATTAGTAGCAGTACCGCGTGCACATTCTTGCTTGAAAACTATACTGGGCCCCGGCACCCTCGTCAGCATTTTTCAGACTCTTAGGGTTCGGAGGTAAGGGTTTGGGGTTCTTTGCGCGAGGTGCTGCAGAAATTTGTCCTTGAGGAGTGGACGAAGCCGCGGATGGAAGAGATAACCACTTTCGTCACCGTTCCTGCAACCGATGTCGTCATCCGTCTGCGGCGCCGCGGAGTCGAGACCCAAAAAATCTGCGGAGACCGAATGGCAGCCCCATTCTCGCACCCGCACCCAGAGAGCCCAATACCTTAATTGAGCAATATACCTCAATCATAAAGCAGAAATCACCAGGGAAACACAGTAGGACAGCATGCACTTGTACAGATGTGCATGCTAACTACAACATTTGGCTCAAGATAAAAAGGCGCCCTTGTGAGTTGGGGTTTCCTTTGTCTTGATTGCTTCAATAAGCACGGCTAAAACTGATTCTAACGGAATCTTTGGGTTATCAGCCGTATAGCTCAAGAGCTTGAAGCTACTTCGCGTTCTGTTCGGTTGTTTTCTTCCGTTCAGGGCATTACATACTTCCACGCCATAGCCGTCTGTTGAAGCTTCTTTCTCGCCTCTGCATTTTGCTGGTGTTTATTTGGAGCTCCACACGTCTTTGGTCACACCGGTGCATGAAACGGTCTGCCTGGTTCAATCCCCGAGGTGGGAAATCAACACGGCGCAAAATCAGACGTGAACTTAGACTCTTGCAGGGTGCAGTTGAGCAAGGTATCGTGGTTCAATCAGGTTTGCCCTCGGACGAGGATTTTGCCCCTGAGCAGCGTGAGTCGCGCCAGGAGGCTTGGGTGCCAAGGCAGCCTGATTATCCTCCACCTGGTTTTGCATCAAGCTCCTCGCGAGAAGCTGCGCCGGAATCCACGCCACTCGTGGTAATCGAAGACGATCCGCCAAGAATTGAGCCGAGGGTTGTATTTTCTACGGTGGCGAATCTGGAGGGCATCGGGACGGGTCACTTTGAAGTCACTCCTTTGAATCAGTAATTATCTTTCTTTTGCCAGGTGCTCCGACGCAATTATTTGCTCAGAGAGACCGGAGGATTTAGGAGGACTGAGAGGGGCCATTGCAATCGATTTCTATAAGACATTGGCTATTCCCAACAAGTGGCGGCGGCGGGGAGAATCATTGCAGGCCTACCCGGTTCTACCTCGGCGAGCGGTGGTCCGCCTCCTCTGTCATCTACGCGCCAACATAGGGGACATACCGGATGATGAGGCTAACCGCTTGCTCTCGACGGCTGGCGCATCCGACACGGTCGCGCTTCGGCACCTTTTGAGGGCTAGCCGTCTTCCCCGAGATCGGGCTGTGAGCCTCCTCTACCGGGCTCTTCCTGGCTTTGTTGCACGGCAGGACTGGCACGGGATCTTTCTGCTTGTTGCCTGGGGGCAAGGAAGGCTCTCCTCCCAAATCTTTTAAAACGCGGTTGCCGTCAAAAAGTGTGCCGCTGTAGCCTTGCTTTTAAGCTGCATGGATTATCGTGCATGCGCATTACCGCCCATTGGGGCGTAAGCGGTGCCTCATTCGAGGCTACCGCTGATAAAGTGCCCGGCCATAGGCTCAGCGCGGTCCCAGTCATTAGGCGGTGCCTCATTCGAGGCTACCGCGCAGCTGACAGAGGCATAGGCTTCTCCGCCATGGACTACCCAGGCCGGCATTTCTGCGTGGAGGTCCACGAGGATGCGGTCCCCATTTGCAGTGATGCGCTCCGCGGAACGGCGGCTTGGGCGCATGCGCCGATGCGGCTCGTCTCCCCCGAGCTTTCTCCTTGGTCGCTGAATTGGGACCTCGTGGGCGACCAGCTTAGCGCGCTGTTAGCCACCGCGCCTGCGCTGTTATCATTAAACACCACCCGCGAGGAGCACGAGCTCGGGGACAGAACGGGGGCCTTCCTCATGGTTGCAGGTTCGCTGGCGGACTAAGCCTTACGATGACGCCATGTCGGGGCAGCTTGCCTATCACCACGCGTGTGCGGGTGAGCTTGGAGCGTTGATGGCAATCATCGATAGCCCCTTATCACCGCGCCTGATGGACAAGGTCTGGGACCAGGCTATCGTGGCCTTGTGCGAGAAGCACTGGCAGGGGGTTGTCTTGATCCTCTCACGAGGGGACGTGGTCAACCGCATGTTGCCGCTACGAGAGAGGCCACGCTCCTGGTATGCCCCTCTGATCTCCCAGGCCATGCTGCAAGACCACGACCTTGTGCTCCTTCTGTTGGCGGGTGGTGCCAACGCCAACCTGCCGGACACAGGGGGACAGGTGCCGCTGATCTACGCGATCTATGCGGGACGGGAGGACTGGGTCCTGGCATTATTGCAGGCCGGAGCGGATCCTGTGCCCAACACTGGATTTCAGCCCCTACTCCTGTCCACGGCCCGGAGGTTGGACGCGGCAGCGGTGTACCTCTTGGTGCACCGTGTGGATCCGCTGCTGGCTGCCCGCGAGGGCACCCTGCGAGGATTATCGGCCTGGGACATGGCGGTGCAGTGGCACATGGAGTATGTCGCGGGAGCGTTCAGGGCGCGTGGCGCCGGCAATCAGGACGAGCTCGTTTCGCTACGGAATGCCCTTACCGGTGAGACGGTCGGCTACTTGACGGAGGGGGCGTCCCCCCCCCTACAGCACTATGAGCTACAGGAGTACCTGCGGCTCCCGCTCCTGGGCCTCGATGTGGTCCCCACGGAAGACGGACTCAGCGTCTGTCGACGTCATTCGGTATCCCTTGGCACCTCTCTTGATGACGGGGCGGCCAGGGGCTTGCAGCTTCGTGAACTGTTGCTGGACCGCAAATATGATATCGCGCTCGGCATCGCGAGGTCTTTCCCGTCGGTTTTGAGCTCGACTGCATATTGTTGGGGGGCGCCGCCTCTGGCAATGCGCTGGGCCATTCGCAATGACACCTTTGCGGTTTCCGTCCTGCTCCGCGCGCGGGCGGATCCAAATGGTGTCCACCGGGATTTGGGTAGCCCCTTGGTCTATGCCATCGCCAAGTCCTCCGACCTTGCGGTTCAACTCTTGCTCGCTGCGGCTGCTTGTCCCAACACACTGAGCCAGTATGGGCAGGCTCCATAGCGCACGCCGCTATATGTGGCTACCTTGGCAGGCACCCCGCGCACGGTGAGGCTGTTGATAGCAGCAAGGGCGGATCCAGGTCCGAGCTTCGGCTCGCGCAAGTCGCTTATGCAGCTGGCCTTCCACCGCGCCGATCAGTTCGCGTTTCTGCCGGCGATTTTTGCTCACCTTGCTAGGGGGAGTCTGTCTAAGTCGGACAGGGTGGAGCTAGCGGAAACGCTGCTTCCTTCCCTGCTAGCCCATGGAAATTGGACGGGCATGTTGTGTCTTCGCCTGCTTTGCGCGGACTAGGTCGACTGCGATATAAAGGGGTGGGCTGCGAACGTGGATCGTGTTCCTGCAGCGGTGCATGGGTGCATGTTTATTCTGTCATCGCTGGCTCCAGGTAGGATTTGGGACTAGGGGTGGCCGAGGGCAATGCTGCCCGTCGGTGGGATCCGTGCCCCTCCCTGATGGAAGCGCCAGGCCCCAAGCGGGCCAGGACCAGCAAAGCGCTTCGCTCACATGGCCATACAAGTGTTCCCTGCCAACGTGTACGGTTCTGGGGCCCTTGGCGGCCATAGGCCAAGCCGGGATTGAGAAGCGCACCAGCACGCCGGTTTTGCTGGAGCCTGTGGTCATGACGGAGGAGATGTGCTTTCCTGCTAGACTGGTTCGGC